CCAGCTCTGGAGTCCTCAGCAGCGGAGACATGGAAGGGAGAGACATGCAGAGGGTCATGAAGACGGTCAGAGGGCTGGAGCACCTCCCATATGAGGACAGGCTTAAAGAGTTGGGGTTGTTCAGCCTGGAGAAGAGAAGGCTTCAGGGAGACCTTATAGCAGCCTTCCTGTACCCAAAGGGGGCCTACAGGAAAGATAGGGAGGCACTCTGTATCTGGGAGTATACTGATAGGACGAGGGGTAATGGTTTTAAGCTGAAAGAGGGCAGATTTAGATTAGATATTAGGAAGAAATTTTTTACTGGGAGGGTGGTGAGGCACTGGAACAGGTTGCCCAGAGAAGCTGTGGATGCCCCATCCCTGGAGGTGTTCAAGGCCAGGCTAGACGAGGCTTTGAGCAACCTGGTCTAGTGGGAGGTGTCCCTGCCCATAGCAGGGGGATGGGAACTCGATGATCTTTAAGGTCGCTTCCAACCCAAATCATTCAATGATTCTATGATTTATGATAAGAACACTTAAAAAAAAATCTATTAGATGCCAAGTTTTATTACAATTAACCATGCTCCAAACTGTCAAAATCATCAAATACTTACAGATTTTTAGGGGCTTAAGCAGGCATTTGTAAACAACTTTGTGGTTTGCCAGTTTGACAGTGAAGGCATGGTAGCAGAGCCATTCTGCTGCCTCAGAAGGGAACACTCCAGATGCACCTTTGTTACCTAAAGCAACCCCTACAGGCAGAACAGGAAAATAATGTCACTGAAAATTATGAGCATTAAGTATGTCTGACCTCTCCTCTCTTTCTATAAAATCATTCCACGATTCTTTACTAAAACCCTATGTAATCAATAAAGTCTCCCATGTCAGCAGAGGATTGAAAACTAAAACCTGAAGCATTTTAGTATTTTCAGGAGATAGAGTTCAAGAAAAAAAATATAGTGATTCCTATCATACACTCCACATTTTTCATTCTTAATCTTTAAATGACATGGTCTGACTGCACATTCCAAGACACTTTGTCTAAAAAGACCTCAAAAACCAAATCCAAATGTGCTACTTCATAGCCATTAACATACTATACCTGCGTTTTTTGCTTTCAGGATAGAATAGCAGCATGATGCAGTCTCAGAGATGATCTTTAGGAAGAAATAAGGGTTGTTTCTAACTTGCTGGTTGAATGGAAGTTGGAGAACACAGGCGTGGAACCTGTTTGCAAAAACAATACTTAACTACAAGTCATTTACAATTTCAAGTGAAACTATGATTACACGCCTTAGGCACTATACAACATTTAGAAGCACTCAACAGTCTTTACGTATATCAACACTGCTAGCATAAGATACCTATCCTACATATACACATCCCTGGAGTGCTGGAAACATATGATGTTTGTTTGTAAATTCTGACCTGAAAGATCTTGAAGCTGCCTGCCTCAGTAACGGAATTCCCTCCTGAGGGTAACGGTTTCATGTGCAGGGGAAGTTAAACTACACATCTTCACCAATTACATATCACAGAGCGTGCAGCCAGACAACACCCACATGAGAGAGTGTGAGAGGAAGAAAAAACCAAAACAAAACCCCACAACAAATTATCTTCAGGAATTCAGACCTCCAAATGACATAGTGTTCCACGGACCAGGATCCCCACTCTTTTGTCTGCTTGGAAGCCAATTCTATGGAAATTATTTGTATTGTATGCTCCCTTACACCTCTCTTTGGACATATTTTAAAACTGCTGTTTTTTCTTTTCTTTTTTGTTTTTGTTTTCTTCAGATTACATCACCCTGTCTGCTTACGCGGAATACAGTCAACAATTACAATGCTGATTTTTAATTACTCAGCAATGTATATACTTATTTACCAAATTAACCTAGCATAAGCATAATCACTTCAAGCAATTACAAAATTTTAAAATATTTAAAGGATAAACATAATTACCACACTGCATCACAGAGCTCTGGCTGAATTAACCTGACATGCTGTTAGTATGGTGGACAGTTTTTTAAAAGGTACTCTATCATAAAGGTCTTTGTTAGAGTGTTACCATAAAAGCAAACAGAAGTAACTAAGTAATCATGTCCAACATCAGAGAAAACCCGTTAAGTCACTCACAACACAAAGTTTAAGAGTTTGACACATCACTGCTGTACTAGCCAAGTCCAACTACACTTCTTAGACACAAGAATGGTACAGGGTGAATGTGGATCAAGTTTACTTTAAGAACACAACTAAAACATCACTTTCTAAGAAGTATGAGCCTAGGAAAAAAGCAACACATGATTTTCATGAAGAGAGAAGCACCTCTTATACCATTTTTGCGTTACAACAAACAAGTACTTGGCGGTGCCAATCATTCAAAGTTTTTGATGCACAGAACAGCATTTTCTCCCAATTTGCTTATCAGTTTTGATTTCTTTCCCTTATCCTTGTTCAAAACATGCACTTCCTCTGCTGGTCAAGAACAGCTCACAAAAACAAAGATACTACCAGCTAAGGAGCAATGAAGACATTATCAGCAGCTAAGAAACTGCAATTAATTTGGTAGAATGAAACCTCACTTTACTGGGTAAAGTTATAAAGGTCAAAGTTCTATAAGTTTTTAATAGATACAAAGTTCTAAATATAAACTGGTTAATGAGTGATAAAGCTTCTCGTCATCCTCCTTAAGCAAAACAGACTGGCTTTTGCGAGATCATCTGGCAATACCAAGAGACACTGAAAATCCATTTAGTGAAGTGTCACTTAAACACACAAATTAATTATAATCCTGTATCCAGAATCTAATAACATTACGTAAGAACATTGTTGAAACAAGAATAATGTGACTTAGTACTGACATTGACCACTGCACATTTTTCCTAATCCATAGCTCCTCCACATGTCAAGAAAGAGTAATGAAATATTCAGAGTTACCGCAGAAGACCTACCTGTAAGCCTGAAGTAAAAATATCTTGTAGATGTTAATGAAAACTGTTCTAAGACTGTTGATCTAGAACAGGACAGAAACAGAGCTATAGGAATACTTTAGTGTCACAGTAGGATTTTCTCAAGTTCAACAGCATAAAATGATTTAGAGATCTAGAGAAAAAACATTTTATGCTAAACTTCAAATATTTCTTTTATGTACCCAAGCTAACAATGTTGTGAGGGCTCAGTTCTGGAAGGCGCCAAGACCCCACATTTTAGTTGATATTAACATTTCCAGGTTATGTGGATCACCTCTGAAAATCAACTCTTTGTGTTAGAACTCAAAGCAATTTTAATGCTATTTATCACTAATCACAATATTTCCAAACATCCATTTCCATATCCCCACCTGTAAATCAAGAAATAAACAATGGCATTTCAGTTTGAGGACTGTAATCAATTTGTATTTCATGTTTTTCCCAGCTGTTCTACTTGAATTGAAGGAAAGACTTGATCTGATAGAAGTACGAGTATAACTAGAAAAAAAAGAAAAAAAAAAGTAGTTAAACTCCATGGGCTAATAGACCACATTAAATTCTGTAAAGTAAGCCACATTTAACTTCTCATGTTACAGAGATTGCCTGCTAATCAATGAGCCAGCAGCTAAAAGATGACTAAATTCAATTCAGAAAGAGACTAGACATTGTGGCACTAAGGCTATTATCTAAGGAACGACTTCAATACCTCAGGGCTGAATAATTCACCCTGCTAAAAAAAATCCAAACCAATAACCTTAAACACAAACTAGACGTATTTCTAAAACACGTGGTCCAGCCAGACCATTGCTATTGACTCCAGTGACAGCCAGGTTATACTCTGTGATCCATGCAACCCAGAAGCTTAGGGCAGAAGCCACCTCAGTCCACCCTGGCGTTCCAGTTACTTAGGGTCAAGCTTATGAAAAGCAAGGCGACCCTTGTAATAAACACCCTCAGGATTCTGCTTAGTGTCTCCCAGACCAGTAGCATCAACGTCCTCATCAACATAAACTATTTATTTCAGAAACAGAGCTAGTGAATAAATCTCTTTGGCTGCTGATTTTAGTCTGCTGTTCCAGAAAATCATGTCATAGAAATTCCTTTCCTAAACCGACTATGCTTTTTGGTTTTGGAGGACTACTTTAGAACTTCACCACTCTAGTGATGGAAAACCTCCTCCTAATTTTCCACTTAAATGTATGCATGTTCATATGTGGTAAGTAACACAGCAATATTACCCTTCAGTTTAAACAGTTCTTTCTTGTTAATCTTTAGCAAATGTCTAAAGCCATCTCTAGCAATCCATGTAAAGGGTCTACAGAGCTTTTCAGTAATATACATTGTCCTGTCCCGAGTTCTATGCCACTTCAGACTGCTTTGTGCATATAGTCAAGGCTGCTAAAGAGAGGTTACTTTTCCCCTACACTACCACCTGAAGTGTACCAGAAGGAACACCTTTGATGCTGAAAGGATTACTGGTCCCCCTAGTCAATACAAAATTAATCCCAATCTGTAGTTCATGTAATACTGCTTCTTCTAGGAAGGTACAAAAAATAACAATTTCAGAACAATAAATGTAGTTATATGATATCAGATACAATATAGTGCATAATGGTGAACGAATCTGAACTGAGATGATTTAATAAACTTTCTCAGAACCACGTAGCCACCATACAGTATATGACTTCTGTTCACTAGTGACTTGTGCCACATTCGATGATGTTAATGACATTATGTTCCACCAGGTTGGAATGAAGAAAATAGCAGGCTGCACAGCAGAAGAAAATGTTTAGATTACCGTGTAAGAAACAGAATTGTAAAATCTACTTTGCAATTAATTCAACTACACCATTCACAAGACCCCCTGTGCTTCTCATACTATGCACAATATACTGTAAAGCTGACACTGGATTATACAACTCTATTTACCTGGAGTAATCGCAGTAAACCTCAAGTGTCTGTATATCTAATAACAAACCACACCATGGGATCAAACGACAATCTGGCAGCTGTCTAAATTTGGAACATCCTGGGATATCATCAACAGGAAAATTCACGACTGTCTTATTGGGGTTTATTAAAAAGCCATACTCAGGAATACCTGTTGCTAGAGTCCTAAAACAGATACAAACAGTTAGCCTAACTCCTCCCCGCAAAAGCAAACAAAAAACCCCACCATGCTGCAAGACACATATCATCTTTCATAAAAGGACAGAAACCAAAGAATAAAGGGAACCACAGCCAACTCTTTAGGTTAAGCAACACAGCTAGAAATATACAAAGCTGAATATATTACAGGTAAATAAATACATGAAACAAATAAATAAGTTTAAGAATATAAGGATAATGGAGAAAAACTTTTACAGATTAATACAAATTAAGAACTTAAACCATGAAATATTTGAGACAAGATGCATAAACCACACTCACAGAAACCATTGAAATCAAAATTACTAGAAAAAAGACAGATGAAGAGTTATTGATTTTAAAAGTTAACAAAACAAGGAGAATGCACATAATAGAAACTTCATTTATCCGATTAAAAGTTTTGAACTTTCTCCACAAAGTTTTCCCTAAGAACGTTTTCATTGCCAGAATGCCTGCTGATTATCTACTACTCATTGTATCAGCAGTGTCATTTTGTGGACAAGCAGCAGTTTGTCTTACTTGGCAATGTATTCATGTGCAGGCTTCATCCTTTTAAAGACTGAGAGGAAGAGGTAGGCTCTTCTTGTTGGGAAGGAATAGTCATTATGCTGTCTCCTCAAAATTAATTTCTTGAGCCCCCCAGTTCTAATATTATGTTAGAAAAAAACTATTACTACTCCACTTGTGGCAGAGAGTTCATAGGATCTGTAAGCAGTCCTGGAAAACTTGCACAGAAGAGGCTACTTGCCTACAGAAAATCAACACATGTACAGAAGTTGATGTAGAACAAAGATGCAGCTAACTTCAACGGGCAAGTAGGACAATATCTGCAATGCTACTGCAAGTGCCATTATGCTGAAAAGATGTTATATAGATTAATAGCTTGATGCATCCCCAGCCTCTTAGTTTGACTTACCATTTTCAGAACTGTAAATCCACACATTCCTATAAATTTATTTCTGTTCTGATAAGGAAACGAGGACAATTGAAGTCTTCAAAGTACACTATCCACTATTCAGTACAATTTATACTTCAAACTGTACTTAATTGATTTCCCCATCACCTTTCAGCCTCACAAGAGAGCTGCATCTTTCTGACTACTGGAAAGCATGATGCAACTGACTGCACTGCAGATGTTAAGCTTTCTTCAAGAACTCTCCTTTGGATCCTTAAAACTGGCTTTGGCATCAGCAGAACTCTTCTTAGATACTGACTGTACATTCATAGTCACGGTAACCAGGAACCTCTTTTGAGGTTCAATTTTTAAAAAGCAGTAGTTCTAAAGCATTCTAAAGAGTAACTGTTTGAAAACTTCTGTGTGAGCTGCATGCTGCCATGCTATCAGTATCTTTAAATACTCATCCCAGAATATTAATGACCAGAAAAGTCTTAGCAATATTGGATCAGAGAAAAGTTGCACTCTTTCACAGGCTACCAGCAAGGACTCCAAGACAGCCCTTGATTATTAACCCATAAAACAAACATACCTATTTGTACAAATATGTACAAAGAAAAACTAATTACCTAAAAGGTGCTAATTCTTATTACTTTAAAAACTGTGTCTTTAATGGCATACCTTAGAAAAGTTCTTGCCTGCATTAAATGTGGTGTAACCAGCAAAAAGTCATCAATGAGACGTATTAGGACTCTGTAATCAAGAAGAAATTGATGTTAGATTTTTTTATAGATGTAATCCTTTCAAATTTCTGTAATACTCCTCAGAGCAACAACATGCCCATTTTATTTCACAAGAAGGTAGAGGCCAATATGATCTCCAAATCGTGTCTCATGAGGAAATTCTCAGTTCTGCTTCTTTCCTAAAAACAAATGAAAAAAAAAAAAAAGAGAGCAAAGAGGCTGGCTACATGAAACATGACAGGAATTTACAGCACACAAGCTACTCCTCTGTAGCTTCTTGGATGCAGGTTTTTACACTTTTCAAAGGGAGAATTTTCAGTATCCTAATCTACAAGATAAGTAAAGGAGGTATAATACCAGATACACAAGCAGATACCAGATTCTTGATGTGCTCTAACTCTGTATCTTCATTTACCATGTAATAACTTGTTTGTGAAGTTACAACTTGATTGTAAAACAACAGACTACTGTCTACCACTGCAAAGGCTGGAATCTTCTTTCTCAACAGAACTCAGGCTCCAAGTATGCCCATATTTTTCTGATAAATTCTGCCTAGGAGATCATAGACAGGAAGCTCTGGAGACGACCATGTTCAGCCTCATCTTTCAAAGCAGGAGTACTGTCATCACTACAATCAGATCAGCTGCACTTTTACCTAGCCAAGTCAATAGCCAGGTTATTTTTTTGACTTAAAGGCCAAATGATACTATCAAAATAATTCAAAATACGCCTAAGTAACTTTCTAAAATATGTTCTATATAAAAACAGCTGCTACCTTAAAGAGTGCATTCTTCTGAATCAGTTTCATAATTTCAATATGTATAAACAACACCTTTTGAAAGCAAAAAATTGCTGTTTAGACTCTTATCATCACAGTATCCTAAAGCGTATGAGAAGAACTCTATTACTTTTTGAAACATTTAAAATTCTGAGACCTTCCATTACCCAGTGAGCCTCCCAAGAAGATACATCAGACAGATGCACTCATCTGGAGGACTCCTACACACTTTGTAGTTTCTTTTTTCTTTCTTAGGACAGAATTCACAGCAATGGAAGGAGAGATGTGAACACAGACAAGCTTCAGGGTCCAGCCCATGCCTTAAAGACCCTACTGGGATTCCTCTGGGGATGAGTTCATATGGGGGTAAAAGGGACCCCAAAGTTTTTGCAGCTAATAAAGCACAGCTTTTATCAGGCTAGCTTTCTGTCAAGCTCCTAGGAAGCAAGCATGAGCAGGGCACAAAGTCTCAGAAGATCTACCAAGAGCCACACAGAGCTTCAAACAAGGACCAACATGCCTCATAAAAAATCTGCAATACAGCTGTGACCTTGATAAAATATTACAATTTACAGATGGTGGATTGGAAAGCCCTCAGGAAGAAGTCTGAAGTATCTAAAAGCCTGTAACGAACATCCCATCTTGTTTGAGGACAAAAGACCACAGATGTGGGAATGAGTGTAGAACCATAAACTTCCCATACAGCTTGTCAGACTCTTTACAGCAGAACAAGGCTCCTACCTACAGACCTGGGAAAGCTTCTTTTCAGCACTTTTCTTCCCAACCTTATGACAAATAAGTAAATTCACCCACAAAACAAACACAGTGACACTGAAGCTGCAGAGATGTTTGTGTGCACCACACTCCTAATGTAGAGTTGGAAATTTTTGAAATACAAAACTAAACTTCAGAGAAAATGTCTAACACATATACCATATATTATGCATTACTATAACAGAGCACAGAACAAAGCATCCCTACCCATCCTGCTGTATTCCACAAAGCAATTTGTTTTCCATGTCTCCATAGCATAAGCTGCAAAGTAAGGTTGACAAAATGGAGCCCTGTGGAATTCCACAGCACTGTAAGTAGTACCTAGTGAAGAATAAAAGAAAAAAAATATCAAAACATGCAACAAGAAGATTGTAATGGTCATTAACATTTACTTATTTTTTTCCAAATATAACATATATTTTTCAATAAGAAATATGCCACATGCTTGCTAGTTAGCCTTAAATTTGTTCTTTCTTCTAACAATCTACATAAGGCTCCAGAAGTTTTAAGTTAATCAGTGAAAAAAAACACTGATACACATATTCCATTCTTATTACCAAACTCCAGTAGACAGCTGTCATTAAATTAAATAAATTTTATAACTGTGCCTCCTTCCTCCTCCAGCTGTAGAGCCACTCTTCATTTAAGTTTCGTAATTCTTCATGTTACATCTTACATAGTTTCAAAACAAGTGTTCTTGTACCAGAAATCAAGTGTACTGGACAAATCTTTTAAACTATAATTTATTTTTAACTATTACCCAAACAGCTCCTAGCAGGTACCCAATAAAAATCCAGACGCTGAAGCTCATCTACACCATGAATTAAATTCAGGTGGATTTTGAGATGGAACACTTCCAACTTTTCTCAGAAACAGCAGACATCCACATTAAATTAAAATATAAATGTTCACCACTATCAAATCTTGCTAAGTTTTCTGAAAAAGAAAAGCTCTTTCAGCAGCAGAAGTCAGAGTAAAAATGTTTAACTATGAAATAATTTAAACTGATAATTTAAATTGCGGTGTTTATTCTTTGTTTATATTTGCAGACCATGACTCAGCCAAGGAAAATATTTTCTCGGGTTTTTGGTTTTGGGGGGGTTTTGTTTGAATATTTCCCCTATCTTGTTAATTGTATAAAGCCAGTAAGACCACACATAGCAATAGTAATGTATCACATCTAAATATGTTACTAAAGACACAGTTCCCCATTATCTTGTGACTTTTTCTATGCTGGCAGCAACAGAACGAGTATGCCTCACAAAACCCAAGGGAATTATTTTCACAACACTCCTTTGAAGCAGCGAGATACTATATTATAATGTTCATTTTGCCATTACTACATGACTGTCTTAATGAAACTGAAGAGAATTAAATTATGCAACTGGACACCACAGCCACATACTACATTCTATCAGTGATCTTACCTATGTTTTGAGTAATCTGAAAATTTTTCTAGCAGTAATGTTACATTTTTATGGACTTTTGATAAAGACATCAAATGGTATTAAAAGATGCCTTCTTGGTCCCCAGCTCAACACTCAGCATTTTTCTCAAAACATCAAGTGAATGTTGATTAACTGTGACAGCTTTTTGAGGACCATCAGTTAAATAGTGCATTCATGTACTACACTTATTTGCAGTTTTGGGGTTTTTTTTGAACAAACGAGAACGAGCTACTTAAAAAGGGCAAATTCATTCTAGGACAAACAGTATGTTTTCAGTCAAGCTGTGACCGAACTTAAGTAAGTGTGAAGTTGGCTTTGTCAGGGTGTGCCTTCTCTAAAACCGTCGAACTTTTATTAAACATACTGATGTTGACTAGTCCTTGTTAACAGCATGCCACATCAGCATTGTCATGATCCTGCCAAAGGGAGTGTAAGCATCAATGCTAGAAAAACTTATGAATGCTCTTCTATTTGCCTTCTTGAAAGCTTTTCTCCTCCTCCCTCAATTCTGTGATATTAAGTATTCTAAAATAAAGGTATTTTTTCAAGAGCAAGAAGCTATTCATTCTAATATACCTCATTCTGTGTTTACAAATAAAGACCATGTAAGTACCTGTTCTCTAGACACGGTACAAACATTTGCCACATAGAGGTAAAACATAAATACCACATCAGCATTTCTAGCAACACACAAAAAAAAAAAATCTGAATTACTACCCTCTGTAACATCTGATTACATAGTTTTAGAGTCACCAATAATTTTAATTCCTATTGGTTTTGCCTCTTATTCATATTGTAACTTGCCAAATAGCAAGGCCATGCAGAAAAAGTTTAATTTTGCACTACAGGGAAAAAAAGGCTTTTGCATGATTGCTTGGATGTTACCTTGCTTTTGTTCACCACTATGAATTACAACATTTTAAAGCATTTTTCTTTTGAACTACATTTGCAGTTTTAAATGAAGAAGGTTACATACTTTAGAATAATGTATTCTGTGTATAGTTAACAATATCCAGGTGGGAAAGAGAAATTTTATTCAAATACAAATTTGATTCTAAAGTCTTCGTTCTTTTACGGAGTTTAAACTGATAAACAGATTACAAGTTAACGTTAACTAGAAATCTTTAAAAGACAGCTATCAAAAACCCTCTGAGCCATTTAAAAGTGTCCTGCTTACAGAAAAAAACAACCAACAAAAAAAAAAACCAACAAACCAAACACATTATACAAACAAAAACTGACTTCTCTTTTACCTGCTCCCAATCTCCAGAATGTTGTTATGTATCATTTGAAGAAAAAAAGTAAACAGGCTGGAACTTGTCTCATTAAAAGTTAAGCTCTAGAAATGGGACAAAACAAAACAAGACTTGTACTTTAGAAATGTATTGAAACTAAATATATAGTATAAACTTACAAGATACACAGAAACCTTTATGAAAAGTTAAGACTGTGGCAGTTCAAACCCCTAAGGTAAGAAACAAAACACCTACCGCCAAGACCTGAACATTCACACTAAAAAGCTGCTCACATCCAACAAGCGAATGGTGCAGCTCTTTTTTTGTTTTGCTTTAGGAGAAAAGCAGTTTTGATTGGTGTTACATAGGAAAATAGTAAAATATAACATCTACAAACACTTTTTCAAGTGCTGGTATATTACGCTGGATTATCAAAATCCACTGTCCACTTTCTATTCTGCAGAACAATTTCTGCAACTGTCATGTTCTTTACAATTCCCCAAATACAGATAACACTCAATTGCCAGCTCTGCTGCAAAACTCATTCTTTGCCACATATTACCAATGATTCCATGTGTGACTGTCCACCCAGTATTTATGAAGCTTTTTGGGTTAAAAATTGTGTAATAAAAAATTCATTTTGAGCAGTTTAAATCCCTGTAACGATGTCTTTATGAGAACTAAAGCAAAATTACTTCCTACTTGCATACACCAGACGTCAAAAAAATGCACCCAGTTTTTGACAGAGCCGTACAAGATCATGGTTATTTGTAATGAAAACCTAACGTGGTGCCCCTGTGGTACAGACACCCAGGCTGACACAATACTTTTTCAGGATACTTTTTTTTTAAAGTAATAACACACACACACAAATTGTTTTCAACTGTAAAATATTTTGAAATAGTATGTTCCTGTTCATGTATGCCTAACATAGTTATCTAAATCAGACGTCCACTGGAAAAAGGAACAAAACAAAACCTACATACACATCATCAGACATCCAGCTAGTTTTCATTTTCATCCATGTACTCTCTGCACTTTGTAGGATCCTGGAATTGTGCACCACCCATACTGTATATTCTACTCCCGTGTCCACAGATACACAAGATCATTTTACTTGTATGTCAGAAACATAAATTACTCTATGTCAAAATTTTTCACTAGCAAGTTTAGGAAAAAAAAATTAAAGACAAATTAGTCTGTGAGAAAATACCTGTCTGGTCATCCCATGCTCAGGAATCTTGTAAATTGTTATCATGGAAGACCATGATGCTAAGCAATAAAATGTATTAAGAAACTGACTGAGCATATCACCTATTTCTATGCCTTTCTCTGTCATGCTCCTTGCACAGAAGGTAGTCTTGAGAACAAACATTTGTAATTAGTACAGTTCTCTGCAGCACAAGAATTAAAACAACAGAAGGATGCTTGCTTCTTGTAACAAAGCATCAGGCAGAGTAATTTAAAATACATACCATTTTTAACCATACTTTAACTCCCTGAAAGTGAGAAATCTCTTTAAACAAAAAATACAAGAGTTGATCTTGCTTTGTGTTGCATTTTAACTCCTCTAAAGACAAGTTCATTTTTATCCACCTTGGCAGGTAAACATTAAAATAAGCTTTATTTTAAAAACCCCTCATTTTTCTATTCTATGCAGCTTGCTATTCAAGATGCCGCATATATTTCCTTAGCTACTTAGCTTACAATACATTTTATTCATTCTTACTTCTGTACATTTTGGAGATAGCAAGTGTTGAAGCCTTTCTTTACTAGACAGTTATTTTCTCACTTAAGCACTGTTGCAACAAACAATGGAATTAGGAAAGGAAAAAGAAACCACTGGTTAAAATGAAAGTTTGAGACAACAGTGAGAAAATCTGGTAAAAGTCTAGAAGGACATTCTGTCAGATTTCTTGCTTGGTGGACTCCTTCCACTGAACACTGAATGCCTGTTATAAACATCAAAGAAGAGATGACAAAAGTCTTTGTATGGAAGGTGCTGGGTAACTAGAAGAGAGGTGGTGTCACTACATAATACATACATTCAATTAAAAATCCAAATCGTGCTCCAATTCTTCTGTAGCTTTCTTTTTCAGTTGAAAAGAAGCCTCCCGATATTTACCTGTTCAACTATTATTGCATTTTGCAACGAGGCATTCTCCTGAAGCTGGGACACAAACTGCTTCATGTCTGGCATAAAATCCTTGAAAGTAGAAACCTGTACATTGAGTGTAAAGAAATAAATGACAAAAGCAATAGAAAATTCAGTAAAAGACTCTTTTATTCAGTGAAGATCAAAGGGCCATCCTTAATGCATTATTTTAATCCAACAATTCTGCTATTGTTAAAAATGAAATATCTCCCTCACATATCTCTATTTCCACAATACATTTCTCTTTATTCTTACTATTCTTGAGTAAAAAGTGTAAAAAGTACAGAGTAAAAAGAAGCTTTGCTACCTCTAAAAAACATCCAACACTATTAAAAAAGGGTTTATGAAGCAATTGCTTAATTCAAGTTGTGACTAAAAAAAGCTATAAACAAAAATATTCCTTGGACCAAAATATATCTACAACAGCAAATAGAAGAAATCAGCAAGTCATACATGTCTCCTATAGAACCGCCGGGCTTTTCCACTTGTGGTAACCATAATCACAGCATAGCGCCGTATGCAGTAGACAGTTCTTTTCTCAGGGTTTAAGATCTGTGAGATCACTTCCACAAGTTTATTGTGAGGGATCGTATCATAAGCCCTGGACACATCAGCCTGAAATAGAAGAAATATCTTTCATTATGTATTCATCAGTATCATTGTAAACACTGTGGTAGTATGAAAAAAGCATTGTTGTAGTATGTAAACAAGGTTGAAGGATAAATCACATAGAAGTCAATTTACTGCATCATTCAGTCCAAATTTGTGAAAAAAAACAAAACACCTCATTGCTTACCTGCAAAACCTTTCCTCACTCATCAATGAGTTTTCCCTTACAAAGGATAACCAAACCATCAGTTTTAGCACAATTCTTGTTCTTAAGAGAAGATGATACCATTCGCAACTTTAAATCTAACACTGAACCTTCAATCATTTAACTGAAGTTTATTGTTGATATTTTTATGTTTAAATATTTTGAGAAACCTTCCTCTCCATACGATAACAGAGATGGCATCTTGGGCTTCTGGAAAGCAGCAAACCTAGATGTTTTACCTTTCCTAAACATCATATTGCCTTTTAACCACTGCTTTTACTTGTCACAGTCAAAATTCAAAACCTTCTGAAGAAGCAACAATCTTAGAACTATAACAATGACATGATTATTTGGTTTGAAAGATAACAAGATAATCATTGAAAGTAATTTAAGGACAGGATGACAACGGACACATGAGAGCAGGGGACAGAAGCCCCACTGTAATATATATATAAAACCATGTAATTTGTATACATCTGTATAAATCATCCCAATTCAAAGCTACGAATTGAACTCAAACACAACAGGTTGCCTGCTAGACAAAACTCAAAAACAAAAGTGTTAAGAAACTCCTTCAAATAGTGGGATACAACAAGCATTCATTTTTTTCAAGTGGGAGAAGAAACTTTTTGGAGAGACAGTAGAGTTCAAGCATTCATTTTCAACAGAAACTAATGATACTGAGATAGAAGAGACCTATTTTTAAAATTACTTACAGAATTATTTTTATCCAAATGTGCATAGCAAGTTTTTCCTGGTTTTCCTTTGGGAAGATGGCCCTAAAAGCATACCTGAGTTTATATTTTTGTCCCATTTTTATACCCAAGTAAATGTAACTGCAAAAATCATGTGAAGAAGCAAGAGCTGCTACATGACAGAAAGATGGACAGAAAAATACGCAAGTAAAGGAAGTGCTACTGCAGGGACACCCTCCTGCCCCTTAAAAAAAAAACCACAGTCTGATATTTTAAAATAAACAAAAGTTTATTTTGAAAAAGAAATAAACATGCACTCAGATCACAGCTATGTAAGTACCTGTACAAGCTGACTTTGAAAAGTTAGTTTGAATACATAATTAAAAACATACCTTTACATAGTAGAAATGAGGAATTTCACCATCTGATTCAAGAACCTTTGTAACAAACTTCTTCCATGTCTTGTAGATATCATCTTTCCCAAACACCGAAGAGCCAATAAAACTGGTGTTTATAGTCCGTTCATAATTTAACACACTAAACAGATTTTTTAATCGAGTGTTGTAGTGATGCATCTAAAAAGAGACCAAAGAGAACCACATGTTGAAACATATTAAATTCTGTTCAATACATAGATTTCACATTTAGACGAAGTATGAGATTAAACTTGTATATTCACTATATTATTTTGGTCAGCTGCAGCTTTCAGAAAGCCTGAATAGAAAGCTGCAGTAACTACTTGGAAGTGAGAAAACAGTCTCAGAGATTTTTTTTTTCTTCTTTTCTACATTTAAATCCTATGGAAAATGTTTTTTTCTGTACCTGGAGTCTGGGAAATCAAGGCGTAATAGTTAAGGAGACAAACAGATGGACTCCAGCAAATAAAACCACCATCAATTAGAAGGTAACTTCTTAAATATCATTCATTCTCTCTGCTGGAGGGTATCACTGCGACAAGAACAGTAAAATGAACGTATCCCCTGAGGCTTTAGGCTAACTCCAGGTGCACCACCAGTTCAGCCTCTGGGAGGTACTTTATGCAAGTATGTTAGCAAAGACTTAACTCTCAGCTATGGGACTAGTAAAATACACATAGTGGCAGTGAAGTTGTGTAGGTTGATTAGCTCTGTAAACACCTTAAGGAAAAAAAATATTGACAGAACTGGCAAGAAAAGAATGTTGAAAGGGCAAACCATACAACGGAAGAAAATAAACAAACTGCACACACAGTGCCCTTATCAATCAGTTCAGAACTTCAGACAAATCCTCTAAAATGTATACACAGAACATAAAAGGTTTCTTACTCTCAATGGAAGTACTGTGATCGTGATATGGATACACTGAAACTACTAATTATGAAAGCATTCCAACTCATCTGAAAACATTTATTTTTCCACTGAAAAAAATAAATTACAGGTTTAAGTGAAAAGCTGGCAAAACTAAAGCACACCAAATACATGCACTACTTCCACTGCCTCCAAAACAACTTGATACAACTTCACCGTTTTACATAAGGCAAGTAATTACATTCATTCATTGGCTGATCTTGCAAAATTCCTTTGACCAGTTTATAAAACAAAGATTTTGGAAAATTAAGACACTTTCCTGAATTATTGCAGTGGTATCTTCTCTGTTATAGACCAGTTCCTAAGAAAAACAGTCAAAAGGGTGGAGATGTAGCTCAAAGGTAAATAGAAGCAGCAAGATCAAAGCAAGCATCAGGAGAAAAGTTCCTCCTTTCCTTCTTAATGAGCCTATCCCAGGATGGTTGCTTTTTCTACAAAAAGCACACCTTCACCTTTTCACAAAGCTGATAGCCACGTGGGCCTTAGGAAGTGAGTCAGTAAAAGAAAATTGAGTCTGGTTTCAAACACAGTTTGAACTAGACCCAAGAGAACTGAGGTTGCAGTATTCACAGCAGCTCCTCATTTTCATGACAGAAGGAATTCCTTCAAGCCTCTTTAATTCTCCAGAACTGGTCTAATCCACAGAGTTGTTAACATTTTTGCAAAATCTGAAGATTTGCTGGAATCGCTGCAGAATGCAATAAAAGATTATAAACTCTCCAAATCAAATCAAATCCAAAACCAAATCTTCTAGACAAATCCAACCTTTTAGAACCCTGCTGCTTCCCAGTGCTTTGAGCTTCCCACTAAGAATAAAAAATAAATATTGATTCAATCAAAAAAGGAAGAAGGATGTAAAGCAAATACAAAAAACCTTTGAAACAAAACAAAATCTACAGTGACTTGAGGATAAACTCACAGAACTGGACTCATCCCACCATGTATTTTGCAGCAAAGCTTGAGAGTTGTTCAAGAATCAGAAGCTGGTTTGCTGGGTATTTGGGGGTTTATCTCTGGCAATTCATCTGGATATATTGCAGTATTGAGCTACAGAAGCTGGCCAAGACTACTCCTACAATTCCAACTGCCTTCCATATTCCAAAACATGGAATATTGTCAGACAGAAAGAACTGGAAGATCATCTTCCTTCTACAATTTAAATGCTAGAAGGAAAGTGGAGAGTAGAGACAAGCTGGATATGGTACAGGATGGAACAGAGTGCAGGATAAAATGCCAGGACAGAAACAAACTGAGTAGCCACACAAGTTTTGGAAAAAAGAAAGAAAAAACACTAAAAAAAAAAAAAAAAAAAGACAGACTGCATCACTGCCATTAGGTTGGAAGCCCTGAATTGATTAATAAGATGATCATTTTGCACTGGACAGTTCTCTGTCTCAGCCTACTATCTAAGAAGAGAGGTAACACTACTGCCTTCTCTTTAATGGATTTACGAAAACCATGAGCTATGCTTTGTGATTAGTTTAGACAGATGAGGTCTAACAGCTGAAGACTTTAGTGTCCTCAATTGTTTGTCAGCACTCTCCGACAGTAGTCTCTTGCTTGCACTTTTCAGCAGATACAGATAGTCCCTCTCAGCTCCAGGGCAGTCAGATTAGCTCAAACCACTTGCCCAGCTACCATGGTTGACTTTGAACGTTCATCTTCTTCAGTATATTCATGTAATCGTTTATGCCAGATCTATTACAGGAATGACAACACCCTTAAAGCACTGCAGCTATTTCCAAATTAACTGTACGCACACTCTCAAATCTGACAGTCTGATTGTCACAGAAAGACTATTAAGAAATAACACTTCAGAACAGCTCTTAGTTGATGCCCTGCAAATCTGGTCTGGGATCACACACCGAACAGTAAGTACTAAGAAACCATTGACCTCTCACACATTTGGGGAACATTTAATCTTGTGCACTAAATGGGACTCAGACTTAATGAAAAACAATTAATGCAGTCATGCAAGATAGCGAAACTGGGTTTCCACTATGTCTTGTGGTTAACTGTTAAAAACATTATCCTGTGCACTGCATGTTCTGCCTCTGTTCACACCCTGCAGTAATTCACAGCTTCCTTCCTATCTCCCTACTATGCTTAATCCAACCTCCTCACCCTTCTCAGACCTTCTTCTGTAGCACACCCAATTCACCACTGTGCAACCCCCCAGACTGACCTGGCAACTAGCTGATCAACGTCCACAATCAGTATTCAGGTAAATCCCAACAGGCCAGACTCATCCATCCCTCACCCTCCCGTGTGCCAAACAAATATGACATGTTAGTTCAGAATACTGAATATCTTTGAGATTTCCATCCTACTCCCATAGATGGCCAATGCCTATGATAATCAGACACAGTTAGCAAGCCTGAGGGAAACCGATGGAAAGAGAAAGAAAATATGATTACCTGACAGGCCATACCATTCTGTTCGAGTCATTTCCTCAAGACAAGCTTGGAAACAGAAGTACGTGATTCTGGAATTGGAGGCTAATGGTAATTAAGTACTGTGAGGGGAGAAACTAGGTTGCAGCAGGTAGACACATTCAGTCATTCTGATTTGAATGTTCCAGCTCACCACATTAACACTAGTTTTATATAACATAAAAAACCTCACTCACTTTATTAGTTGCCTACATCAAACCCACATAAAACAATAAAGAAAATAAAAACCTTCTTTTCTCTGCTTTCCCTGCTGAATGTTCGTGCTTCAACAACACCGCTCACTTTTACTATGGGTCTTAATCCATTTGCTTTGGGAATGAACCGGAGCTTTGATGCCATAGGAGCATCTGTTTTTTGACGGACAGCTTCAATCTCCTCTGAAGATAAAGCACGTAGATGTACTTTGGCAAAATGGTTTCTAAAACACAAATACACATTCAGTATAAGCAATAGGAAAGGCAGTAATTTAAAACATTTAATTGCTTTATGATAACTGAAGCCAAATATTTTACTAAAAAGATAATTACAAATACTAACCTCTGCAGAAAGTGACATGGAAATGTGAATTTCAGAACAATTTCACAGTATCTTAATGACAATGTAATACAAGAATAAGAGTACAGATTTCTGCTTGCTGAAAATTAAGATAATAAAAAAATCTTAATCAACACAAACAAAAATTTAAGTACAGATCAGACGAATACATCTGAACATTATGAAATATTTTTTATGCAAGACAACAGGAAGTTGGATATTTCTCATGGTTACAGAAGTTTGAAAGAAGTTGAACAGAACCTTCTGAAAACCATATTAAGAAAGATCCAGGGAAGGACTTACACACTGTAATGGGCTGTTCTACTCGCAACATTTAGGGGACCTACTACTTATTAAAAGAGTGAACTGAGATACTAGGATACATACACAACAGAAGGACATTTAGGTATCGAGTAACACAATTCAAAAGAACCCATCTGCTGAGCAGGTGTCGGCTAAAGTGAACAGCAGAGAATAATAAAAAACAGAAGGGTCCTAAGTCACAGATTCTGAGCTCCCTAAGTCCACTGTACTGGAAAATGTGTTTTCCCCTCAGACACCTCCCTCAGGATTTACAGTTCAGTGTAGCTGAGTCCAAATCAATACTTTCTCATGCAATGAGGCAGGAAAAGGAGGTCATGCAGAAGCCCTTGCTTTTACTTAAGATTGCAGTGTTAAAGTGCCCTGCCTGCAATGTAAAGACCTGGATCAATCTCCTGTACTGCTTCAGCCGGACAAATTGTGCCATTCCAAAAGACCTACAGCCTAAGTGGTTAGGATACTCCCCTGGGAAGTGAAGCAAGACAATTCAAATCCCTGCAGAAGGAGGGGGGGGATGCAAATCTAAATTTACATGCAGATTTTTCTCATCCCACACCAATCAACAGACTAGGTTAGCAAAAGGAGGCCACACTATCACAAAAGACAGTGGATGGCTGGTAGAAATCTGGCAAGCATGCTCTCAGCAGACACATGAAAAGCCAAGAATGCAAGTAAGAGGCACATAAATACTTTTATTTTCTGTCACAACTCCCATACAAAATAATGATCCAGCTGCTTGGGACTGTCGGCTTTTGAGTAATACAGTGCATGACACCTAGAAGGTATTGGGGCATTCAGGGCTGGCAGTCAAGCTATTACTGAGCAAGTGTTTCGAGGATGTATATTCAAATTTTGGAATTAAATTCCTGGTACAGATGTAGCCCAAAGTGAAGCAGAATGGACAGGAGGAGACCACTCTTCCACAGCTAGAGATCCCTATTTTTTATTATTACTTAAATTATTTCCTGAACCCATAAAACTTCATCATGTACTATGGTATTATGTAGAACACTATGAGAAAACAAAAAACTCCAGTTGAGAAGAAACAACCAAATTATCAAATCTCCATCACTTTGCAGTTCAAAAAAAAAGAACCCAAAACAACCCCTATATAAAAAAATACGACTTGCTCTGAAAAGTGAAGAAAAAGGCCAATTACTGGCAGATCTTCAGCATTACTACCTCTGGCCAGCAGTAGAATTGTACATTTTGCCTGCAGCAACATCCACAGCTTATTTCACGGAATTTATAGCAGTGCTAATGGCTTTGAACACGCACTACTCTAGTGGCTACTAAACCACCCTGCTCTCATTTGTACGCTGTTACGCACTGGAACTTCAAGGAAGTTGAGTGGATGGTCCTGCTGTCTTTTGACATCCTGCCACAATCTGATGAGGAAAGATTCAGAATTACTGCAGCACTTTCAATCTTTAGCAGCTACTGCATGTGGCAAAGGTAGAGAGGGTGTGGTCCTTAGGAAAACAGGTGCTGTCACCACTACGCTGGATATATGATTTTTAAAACTTTGTATTCTGTGAGCCATGTAACTTGAGCCAACTGTGTCATTAAACACAGTTTTTTTCTTAATAAAGAATAAATACTATTTTTAATTTGCAGTATGAAGTTTGGTATAGCTTCAAAAATGAACAGAAAGTTATCTGTGTGCAAAAAGTCCAGTACACTCTAAGCTCCACCTACACAGCAAGACAAACATACAGATTCAGGTCCCCTCCCAGAACCACAGTCCATACCCTTGAGTGGGATTCTGCACAGGAAGATCTATTCATACAGACAGCCCTTCAGGATGGGGATTTACTCCCTAATGACAACTCAGTGCAAAGGCAAGCTCATGAGTAAAGCCCAAGCCCACTCAGACCAGACTGTTTCATCCATCCTCTCCCTCCCAAAGGAGGATGCAAAAGAACTGGAAAGGCACCAGTGGCTACCCTTGGCTGCGAATGCCTTTCTGCGAGACAGCACAGGGCGATGAGCAGCTCCAGCCGAAGAGGAGAAAGAACCAGGACTTCCACAGAACAGCCATTAGGGCAACAACTGAGGCCACCAGATACTCATCCTCCAGGGAATATGGAAGCAACTCAACAGCCTTTGGCACCGAATCACCAACAGCGACTGAAAACACTGCCTGGGTAAGAGGGAATGGTGCCTGGAGAGTCTCGAAATAGCCAAGGAAGCACAGTAAGCCCTAAACAGCTGCTTCACAGTATCTCTAACCCCCAGTTTCTCTCCTCCCATGTGAAGTGGGCAGCTTGCTGCCTTTATAAACGCAGTAAACTGGATACGTATGAGACCTCACACTGCACAGAACACTCAGAAAAGCAGAGTGACAAAAGCCTGTAGCCTTCTGGGCGGAGCTGGAGTGCAGCTGCTGGGGTCAGACTAAAAGCTCATATAGCTCCATATCCCATAGCCAACAGCAAGCACCCTGTCCTTCGAGCATGCCCTTGGCCAGCACACAGCAGCGCCTCCCTGGGATGCTTCCCCAGCTTGCAGTAATCTGCAGTTCAGGGACCTCACTAAAAACAGAATTGTATCTAATAAGTAAAGTTAGCAGTTGATGACACTTTATGCTAAAAAGTAGCCTTTGAAGTATATTAAAACTACATAAAACACTAATTGCCACGTTAAGGCTGTTAAGTTTGAAGACAAGACAAACAGAATTTGTGGGACTGAAAATTATACTTTACTACTTCTATTTAAATTGCATATTCTCTGAGACAACTGCAAACAAGATTGAGGCCCCATGAAGTGCAAACACATACACAGAAGAGCTGCACTGGAAATACCAATGTTGAAATCAGGGAGTGTCAGGGCAGAAGGGGAAAAATCATACATATAACATTGTAGACCAACAGACCAGTGTGAAAGCAAAAGGTTCACCTTACAGAATGGTTATTAAAAGACAAGACATCAAGTATGCTCATTTTGCACAGTTACAAAGCTCTCTTAGACTGCAACAACTTATAATGAAAACCCAAAAGACGTGAACTATGGAGATGTGTGCACAATATTGTTCATTAAAATTGCCTTCAGATCTCTCCTATTTTCTCACTTAATTGCTTAAAATTTGACCTTAAATAATGCCCCAACTTAAATACATGTGTGCATTTATAAGATCAAAAAAGCAGCATGGAATTCCACAGCTGGCTAAAAAAGAAGCTGCAGCTTTTAAAACCCTCAACCTTAAAACACAAGGCTACTGTCTGAATTTACGAATAGAGTATTACAGCAATTCAGCAGAGGTCTGGTTTTTGGTTTGAGGGTTTTTTTTTTTTTTTAATTAAAGTAGTTGAACCAAATTGAGTATTTTTAAAATTAATTTTGCCAAGGTTACCTTAGGATTCTGTCACTATGCTTTAGTCATTGTTAAAAGATGTAAAAAATTGACTTATCAAAACAAAATCATCTTCATGATGGATTTTATTATTGCAAAGGTTTCTCTTCTGCTACCAAAGAATTCTAAATTTGAATCAGTTTTCTCACATAAAATATTTCTAAATTTACAAGCTGTGCATGCTTCAATCACAGGCTGAACTTTCTTTTGGGAAATTAAGCAAATAAAAGTAAGATAAATGGGCAATAAATGAAAGCAAAGTTATAACTTTACACTATAAAAAACAATATTTCTACATAGTCCACTAATGTTTGGTTAGTTTTCTAATGTTACCTAATTCCAATGTTCTGTAACTTGCCCCAAATAAACTTTCGGTAGTAGAAAAGCATGTTTTTCTGGAACATGGTCTCGGTGATATAGAAAAATGATCTGAGCAACTCAACAACATAGGTATCCATCAGCCAGTATAGGAATTTAGCCAAAAGTTCTTCACGGAAACAATGTTCATAGGCAGGAACAAAGTGATCACCTTCAATAAACAATTCAAAGGGAGTTACAGTAAATATTAACTATTGACATTAGTAAAGAAACAGAACATACAAACAAACAAACAAACCCTTTTTCTCAGCTTGAGGTTAATGGACAGAAAAAAGCAAATACAAACAATTGCACAGATGCTGCTCCAAATTTTCACTAGCATTAAATAATGTGACCAACCCAAGCTTAAAGTACAAACACAGAAACTAATTTGCAGTGAAAAATTGACATACAGGATACGAATACATGCCATTAGTAGCCCAAAGACTTACTTTCGTCTCCCGACATTGACAAGATCTTTAATGCACAATGACAGGATTATTATGAAAGGAAATGTAAAATGGAAATAAGCCTACTACAATATAAAACTTTTTTAAAAGGCAAAAGAATTAAAATACTTAAATATACAGTAAAAATAATGGAATTAAACTGGGCTGACTTGGGGATGAGAATGATATTCAGATTTCCTTGAAAATTTCATTACATTAAAATTAATTTCAAGGTCAGGCTTTATTTCAGACATCCTATATCAAATTTGTTAGTGCAGTCAAAAAAAAAAAGAAAAACAAAATCATCCTAAGTCCATCAGCACTTATAATATTTAGATGGCACAAAAATTATGGAGCCAGAATATTCCTAGGTACTGGCAAATTTAAGGCCACATAGATCTGTAGTGATGTCTAAATATGGGTAAGCAAATAGGGAAAAAATCCTTATGCTACAATACTGAATTTTTGCCAACTTTCAATAATACTGTTTCTTATTAGAGAGTGGGATTTTGCAAAATACAACAGAATAATTTAATGAAATTATACAGAAATATTAGTTTAGCTGCACAAATAGCACAAACGTGTTAAAAACAGCTTAATTTTGACAGAACAAAGCTAAGGCTTAAAACTGAAACTTATAAAATGGAAATAACTTTCCAGTTCTCTACCCTGTTTGGTTTTTGTGCGCTTCAGGGTGGAGACATTTTCATGTGTTTACAGCACCTAAGAAAAGACTACCATCAAGAGATAAAACAGTGTTCATTTCAACAGAACCCAGATAGTATCAATGAAAAAATCCTATGATTGTTAGAAAAATCTCTAACTGAAGAGCTGCAATATGCAGCTGTAATATGCAAATTAAATCATGATGCTGTTAAGTAGCTGTCCTGGAACCAGATCATTTGTTTCTAAGTTCTTGACAACAGATGTAAATGACAACTACAATTCAGGGAACTGACAAAAAACCACTGCTACTACTTTTGGAGAAAAAAAAAAAAAACCCCACCTACAGTGCAGCAAAGCAATTAAATGTGCATTTAAACTTCAAGCACAAGTGAGTAGTTTCATGAAAATTAAAATCAAGCCTATGTGTTGCTTTTCCTGGAATAAGGCCAGAGAATAAGAAGGTATTACATTTTTTAAGATGAGATGTTCCAAATGACTATGAACCAAACATATTTTACAATAAAAACCCTCTAAAATATTTAACTCCTCAGCTTTTTGAAAAGCATTATTTTGAGCCATAGTTTCTGAATAAAGAAAGAATCAGTATAGTTGCCAGAATTAACAGTTTTTATGGAAGGGTAACCTCCCCTATTTTTCACATCAGCTCTCAAACATCAGATTTGCTTTTCCTTCTACACTACAAAGAACCTGCAGTAATTTCAGAACCTTATCGCACCTTTTAAAAAGGAATACCATTTTCAGCTCACATTACTGGAGGATCCAAGTACATTACCAGGTAAGAATAAATACTGCAAATGTATCAGTGAAGAAAGTGCCATCCACATTGTATAGATGTAGAATGGAAGCACAGAAAAACGGCAATATGCATCAGATCCTACAGCAATCAACCACAGAACCACAGCTTCAGCCTAGATTTAAGTCCTAAAATAGCATCTGAAGAAGGACTTCTTCAGGGAAGCATGATTTACTTGTCATCCTCTGAAAAGAAGACTAAACAGAAGGGATTTGTATAAAATTTGGAGCAAATAGCTGATGCCCTTGTGACAGCTTTCAACCAGGGACCACTCAAGTCCGGTGACCTCTGCACCACCAACTACTCAGCCTGAAGGAGTGCTCAGTGTGGGTCTCTTGTTCCCAGAGAAGGGCTCTAGAAAGGTGACAGATGGTGGACAACCTCTGTATTGCATGGGTACCATACTCAAATCTTTCTCACAAAGTTGATATGAGAAGGGAGAAAACCATGCTGTGGGATGAAGGTTCACTCCCATAGCTGAGGAACACATGCCACTACAAGTGTCTTGATTTGCCTTTAGTTTTTTCTGAAGGCTTACGGTTACCAACAGGCAGACTGCATTTGTTCCTTATGTGTTTAGGGCATACTTCAATGAATTTTCACAGTTAACCGCAATTTGTAGGGTAGGGGTGAAAGCGAAAGAGTTTTGTTGAAAGGTCCCAGGTTCTGAATTAATTTTTACGAAAACGTCATCCTATTAAACACAAAAAGCGTGAATGAAAAGGATGAAAACTTACATCTTAGAAGGAACACAGGCTTTAGCACTCTTCCACCAGCAATTACAAAGACTACTAGGTTTGTTCTATCATCTGTGGTTATCAACAATGACCGCAATAACTGAACCCTAATTCAATACCCTCCCCCTTCCCACCTTAAACATGAACACCAGTCATCTGACACCCCCGCCTTAGTTCTTTAATATAATAGTACCTTTGACTAGACGAAGCCACATGCAGTCATTCACTCTCATCTTCCACATCAACTCCTGCAACGAAAGCTTAGCAAACTTCCCCATGGAAATGAATGCTTTCACATTTTTTAAGAACCGGCACTTGTTATGGTTTGAACCCCAAAGCTCAGCAGGTATGACCCGCTCCAGGCACTCCCTCACAAAGATATACCCCTGCCAGTGGCTGCTGTGCTGCTTGAGGAGGTCCCCGAGGGCTGAATCACACCCCTCTCCCGGGCTTTGCTCCTCACTCTGTGACTCCCCACGCGCACATTTTGGAAGAGGAGCACTTGAGTTGTCTGGCACATCAGTGTGAACAGATGCACTTCTGCTGCTTGTCACGCACTTAGCAGGCTCTTTCTCAAACTGTTCTGCTTGCTCGTGAACCTCTGCTTCCCCAGACAAGGCTGCCTGACAAGACAGCTCATTTTTTCTCACACTGGTTTCAGATACCCACACAGGGCAATTTTTTTTCAAGAGAACTAAGTAAGGGCACTTTCCATGGTTCTTTAACAGTTTCTGAAATGTATGTCTCATTTGCCAGTAGCGTTTGGGCAACCTCTTCTTTCTCCAGTTGTGATGTGGCAGACTTTGCTTATGCTTTTGCTCCAACAGATTTTGTCTTAAGAATATAGTTTCTATAAGCCGTCTTCCACCTGCCTGACAGCCCTGCAAGCGATTCAATAAGAACAGTTTAGGAAAACATTCTTGGAAATTCCTGCGAGAATACAAAAGAAGCTTCCTGTCAATGTATACTGCAGAACGCAAGAGTGTATTTGGTAATTTCTTTGCCAAATGAGCTAGGGGACTTTCCCGTCTTCTGCATTTTGAAGAAATACCCTCCACGGGTTTGATTTGTACAGAATCCAACTGAGGTTTATACATACGCATCTCTACTCCTTTCCTATGGGATTCTGCCTGCATTTCAATGCTAGACTTTAAAGGTTTGTTACTCTGAACTCCTTGCAGAAAAGAGCATTCACCTGCCACAAACTTGTTCCCATCACGAGATGTGTGAGCTAAAGGACCAGACATATCAGTGTTAGTTCTTTGAGAAATGTGCTTTTTTTTAATGAGACTTACAGAACGTGATGCTACATAAGCAGTTTCATATCTCTTGGAGCTACTTGGGTTTACATCAGGAGTTAGATTACAAGCCTTTTCCTCTCCCACTTTCTCCTCTACTTTTGCTCTCTTAGCTGGAATTTCAAGTTGTTCCCTGTCAAGCTTCCTTTTTAAAGATGGTGCTGCAGCTGACAAATACAGACCAGAGCTACTCTGTTTTTCCAGATGTTCAGCAACCATTCTGACCTGCTTGCTTGCTTTAGAAACAGCTTTTGCAGAACACCGATAACTGGACACTGAGCTTTGTATCTTGTTACTTTTTTTATTTCCCGTGCTGGAGTAATTAGCTTCAAGGCTTTGTCTGCATTTCCACCAATGTGACTTTGAAAGATACTGTCTGTGAAACAAAAGCCTTTTTTGCATATAGTCAAGCAAGCTACTACGTTTATGCTTTGAAAACCTTTGTTTAACAAACACTGGGGATGAGTCTACACTATGTGAAATAAGTTCATAAACTGGTTGCCCACAAACTTGATAACAATTACTAGGGGGAACCAGCATAAAGACTGCACAGTGTTCCAACAAATACATCATCACATCGTCCCCTATCCTGCTCAGCAGTGTTTCCCAGAGGCCACTGATACGAATAGTTTCTGTTGCAGTATTCGGTAGGTAGCTGTATATATTTGAAGATGGCATGATTTGGAAATGAGAACTGTTTTCATCCAGTAAGGAGTATCCATATGCAAGGACATTCTTCTTTCTTTTTTCACACAGTCTCTGAACAACTCTTGTGATGACTTCACTCTGACTAGATAACTGAGGAAAGAAAGAAAAAAGAAAATTAGCTTTCATTACCAACTCTTCTATAAACCAAAACATAGGCTTCAAATAAACAGACATGCAAGATACGCAGTCCTAGACACCAGCTTTAGATCAAACCCTTTCAAAGCAATAATAATGATTCAAAAGTGCCATACCCAAAAGGAAAGATTTTCAAGCATAGCACAAGATGTTTACATGCAGCAATATGGGGCTATGACTTTAAGGAAGTCTTTTTAACGTCTGCCCTTTTGATCCTGGTTTTCATGCCCAGGAAACACCCTACATACTCCCCTGGGCTCCCTCAGCAACCCAGGCTCCAAGGCCTCCAGGTCACTCTGCCCGTAGATGACTTGCTGGTAGATACGTGCTCACGCAGGCTCTAACCTCCAGGGAACTAACACTGATTTTCTTGAGGCCTCCATTTCCTTTTCCGTAAAGAAAAGTTCAATGAAACGACTCAGTTCACCATTCTACAACACGCTCAACAAGCTTGCAAGGTCTGTTTCCTACCGTAGCACAGTTTTGCTCACGCTTTTTTAAGAGCGGTCTTTCCTCTCCGAAAAGCTGCTTCTGCTTAAACACCGGCCCGCAAGTGGGTTTCCCCCCCTCTTCTCTCTCCTCTCAAGGGTGGGTGGTGGAATTTCTCATTTACAGTTGCTCCCCGGCCACATTTCTTTGTTCACTCCTACCCACGGGGCCAGCGGGGAGCCCCCGGCAGTCAGCCCCCTCTTGTGTTCTCCCACCCCCCACC